GCCCCCACCTGTGAGTAACTGCAGCGCTCGTGGTCGCTGCCCCCCAGCACGGCCCGCGCTTCCTTCTCCAGCTCCTCGTTCTCCGCCAGCACTTCCGCCAGGGACACCACGGGTTCCTCCGCGCCGCTCCCGCCGCTCCCCGGCTCGGCGCCCTCCGGAGCCGCCGCCTCCATCGCCGGGACGCGAAGGCCGAGGAGCGCGAACCGAGGCGGGAAACACGGGGCCAAGGAGGCGCCAGGGGGCGCCACAGCGGAAGCGGAATCGCGCGCGCCCCACGTGACCGTGGGCGGCGTGTCACCGCGGGGCGGGGCGGCCCGCGCGGCCGGCACGTGACCGGCGGGGCGGGCACATGAGCGGCGGGCGGTGATGGCGGACCTGGTGGCCGAGACGGAGCCGGGCCCGGGCCCGGGCCGGGAGCTGGTGGCGGAGCTGCGGGGCCGCGACGGGCGGACGCGGACGGTGCGGGTGCCGTACCCGGCGGCGGAGGAGGGCGAGGCCGCCCAGCTGCGCGGGCTGCGAGGGGCCCTGAGCGAGCTGCAGGAGCGGGTGGTGGAGCTGCTGGCGCCGCTGGTGCAGGAGGAGCGGGCGGCAGCGGGCGGCGCGCGGCGCGGTGAGTGGCGGGGGGGGCGCGCCGAGGGGGCTCCGCCGGCCCCGGGGCGCCGCCCGCGCCCCGCACCGTTCACCCGCGCCCGCCCGAACTCTGGCAGGTGGTGGCGGGGATGATGACGACGACTACGATGATGACGAGGAGGAGGATGCAGGCGAAGACGAAAACAACGTGGACGCGGCGGCGAGCGGCGATGACCCTCCCGTGAAGCGGACGAAGGTGCAGCAGCCGTGAGGGCGGCGCTGGAGGCCGGGCCTGCGCCTGGACAGGCTGTACCGACTGTAAGTGTCCCGGGCCCGCTGCACGGACTGGCTCCTGCGGCGCTGCTGCTCCTGTTCAAATGCGAAACTGTTTTAATACGGAAGCCTTTCCGAAAGGATGCGCCTGGGTGTGAGCAGCGTGTTGTTTACAGGGTGCCAGTGTTATGCTGGCACCAGTTTTTTGGTAAATTAGTTGGCAAGTATAGACTTCTCTCGCAAATCTTCTGATTGGTATGTTTTTTAATAACTTATTCTGAGTCACAGTATTTCTTCATGTGACACCACTTTTAAAATAAAGCAGTAAAACTTCAAAAGAGTTATTTTGTCAAACATGATCTTTAAAAGTACAAGACAGCTTGTGTTTGTATGCAGAAAAAGCAATATAAGACCACTATAAGTATCAAAATTAACAAGCATGTATAAGACTGGGCCCCTTCTGTACAGTCTTACAGTGGAGGATTATTTTTGCCTATCATCGACAAGGTTTAGTCACCTGTCAGCCAAGAAGCTTCTGTAAACAGGTATAAAACACTCTTGATAGTGACTCCATAGAGCCTTAACCCTAAGAGTGTTCTGTAGCAGAATTTAATTGCCTGAATGAATACTATGAAAAGCATTTTGGGTGGTTATTTTCATTTTCTTGTGTTGTCCTGGCACAGTTTGTTTGTATATTATGGAAACTGAGCAAATCTTGAGACTTAGATATGTAGGACAAAGTGTGGAAATAAATGAACTTTTATGAGGACAAAATTGTCTGCAATTCATTTGAAATGCAGGGAGGAGCCAGAAGTGAGGTTCAGTAAACGTGTCTTTGACATTCATGTACTCACATACTCTAAGATACTCTGTTGGCAGATGGGATAGAGGCATAACTCAAAAGACCAACTCAGGTTGTACACCTGTTTTCCCTTTTCCTCCAGACAAACCTTCCAGAAATGGTATGAACTGTCTAATGGCTGAAAAGTAACATTTATTTGTGGCCTTTACCTATAAGCTGTGTAAACAGTCCACTGCCATGTCATGGACTGAAAATGTTTGGTTAAAGCAACAGACCCTAACTTAGCACAAGTGCAGGTAACATTCCAGTAATGGGATACTTCTTTTTTTTTTGGTCAGCCTGGGCACAGGAATATGCTGCACCTAAGATTCAGAAAATACCAATGAGCATTGAGTCAAAAACTAACACTCAAATTTCTTCCTTTAAAGAATCCTTGCTAGTTCTTGTAGCTACCAAAACTTTCAAATGACAAAAGAGCACTGGAGCTTCAGGAGACCTTATGCAATTCTAAGTTGTAGGTTTGTTCGTGGCAGAAGTGCCCTAACCCAACAAACTTCATTTTTCTGAGAGTTGCTGCGAGGTTACCAGGCTCAGGAAGCTTTAGTGTGATGTGGTTCCCTACCCTCCCACTCCAAAACAGCTGTGTTCTGAACCCCATATGGGGAGCCCCTAAGTCACCTGTGGCCCTGAATTTTAGGCAGAGGAGTTAAGCCTCAATGGAAAAAAAAGATGCTGTTTTCTTCACCTCAGAGAGAGGTAATGCTTTTGTACCTAACCAACCGTCAAGGGGGCACAGAACAAACTCAGTTCACCACATCTGAACTGTTCAGTGCACTGTTCAGTTGTATGTCTTACTAATAGAACTTGGTTTTACTGGCCCAAGGGGGCTCAATGGATTTTCTCACTGAAATAAAGGGGAGAATGCTGGTGTGTTTGTATGGAATTAAAAGAGCTGATGTGATACTAAATTCTGGGTAGTTAGATGAGAACCAACAACTTTTACTAGTTACAAAACATTACAACAAAAAATATCAAAGCATGTCTCCTTCACAACGACTGGGATTATATGGCATACTCTGCTGTTACAGTTTTGAAATACTGAATTGCTGGTTCAAACAACTTTGAGGCTAAATTCATGAAGGAACTTAACAGGTTGCAGTGTTCTGTGTTTAAAAAAAAACTTTAAGTCTCAAGTATACAAGGCACTGAGATAGTTCTGTGAGGAAGAGGAGGTAATCCCATTATGCCCAGTAACTGGGGCATTGTGTGAAAGTGCTGTACCTTTCCTATCTCTCAGAAGAGGAATCCAGAGTCATCATTTTCATTAAAGGATTTGAATGCCATTCACCCATGGCAGCCCATTTAATTCCCACTCACTCCATCTTAAGAGGTAACTTATACAGAAGCTATTATGAGCATCAGATTCTCTGTAAAATACCCAGTAGTCTAGCAGCTGAGATGTCATGGGGCGTAACTTGTGGTGACTAGGTCAGCACTCAGCAGTGTGAACATCTGAGCAGTTCTGGGCACACACACCAGCTAAATAGACTAGACTTGGGCCTTGAGGACTGAGCTGAGCAGAAGTACCTTCTAATGGCTGTAGCATGTTCTTTCTTCCCAGAAGAAACCTGCACCATAGGGGTATCTTTAAGGAGAGCTAAGATAAGTCAGTTCTTAAAATTTAACTACATGATAAAATCATTAAACTGCTTTTGTACCTTAGGTCATTTGTAGAAAAGTTCAAAGACTGTGACATAAAAAATGGGATTTTTAAAAAACTAGTAAGAGAAACTAGAGCATATCCTTTTAAGAAAACAAAGGACCAGACAAGAGAAAATAAGGAGAGTTAATACATATTCTGCAACAACTGGAACTTTTTGTTCCAGGGATAAGTCAATCCTCATATTTTTAATTTAAAAAAGAGAATCAAATTTGTAGTCCTACTTTGCCGCTGGAAGAAACATGTCAGAAGGAACACATTTTATTGTAACTTACTTTTGTCCAAGTTTGAAGGGCTGCAGCCTCATGTTATGCTCTTCATTGGACCTGCTCCCCCATGGCAGGAAATGAAGAACAGGCTTAGTAGCACTTGTGCCAGACACATTCCTGAGATGGGAAGGGACTGTCAGGTAAAGGTCAAGCAGCTAAAGAAACTAACATTAAGACTGCTCAAGTGATGTTCAAGCAGTCTGACAATGCTTTATCTTGTGACACAAATGAATAAAAAGAAATCCAGGGTAAGTGGCATACAGATGATCATTAATCACCCTTGCATTACAGCTATTCTCTGTGTTGGCAGAACATTAAAGCTCAGAACGTTGCAAAACTTCAAGCTTGAGTATCCCAAAAGTTTGTAGATGGTGTCATTTTCTGTTACAGACAGCTCTTTGGTGACTCAGGTAATCAGCCTTGACAATACCTATAAATTTTCAGAATAATAAGCTGAAAGCTATTTCACTACTTTTTTTTTTTGTTGTTGTTGTTTGTTTTTTTTTTAATACTACAGTAAAAACCAATTTATCATTAATTTTAATAGTCTTTCCTTTATTTACCCTATCGGTAAGATTCCACCTGTTGATGTTCCCCTGGTGTCAAAAATGCTGGAAGCACCAGCAGAGCTAACTTAGCTCTTCTCCTACTCCCACTTCTTAATATTTGTATACACTATGTTAATAGTTCTCCAGTGCTGCTTTCCACTTCAAGCTCAAATCCTTACACGTAGCATTTGCTTGAATTAGACTGTGTGTTTTTCTGTAGCTAGTTGCAAAGCACATGCCTGTCAACAGCTGGAATCCAAAACTAGGCTTCTGATGGAAGAGTCTAGGAACACATGCCTCCGTTCTGCAAGTCCCCGCCGTGCCCAGCACACGCTCCACATCCAGACAGCTTGGGTCATCCCACCAGGCCTGCTAGTGAATTTGCTAAGGGTCACATGCTTATATGACAGAAAATTAGGTAGTTCTTCCTATCATTTTCTATTTTTGATGCTTCCTCTTATGCGCTTGGCTCTTTAAATAATTCCATCTGCATACAATGTAACTGTTCAGTTTAAAACTACAGCGTCAAGTTAAAAACAGTCCAGCCAGAGGTATCTCTCTCACACAAAAGCAAAGAAACAAGGGGATTCAGTTTCATCCAGCAAGCCCCAAAATTTCAGGCTACAAAGAAGTAATTAGGGCACGGACTATAAGGGGACAACAAAAGATAAACTGGACGTGCACACTGAGGGAAGGACATGAGCACAGGCTACAGTAACTGACGGGCAGCACTGCTGTCTGGCACCAAACATGCAAAAATACCCCACTAAAGCAAAAACAAACAAAAATGAAAAGCTATTGATAAGTATCTGCATTAATAGGCTTGTGTTTAGAAACATTGAAAAGTTTTTATTTTATAGATAAATAGCATGGTGATTTTAAAAGTTGAGAAACAACACAACTTAAAAGCTCTGACTCCCCAAGATACTAACTACTCGTCAGAGTTTATAATTTAGTCTTACTCCAGCACACTTAAGATGGCAACTTCCTCCTTTTCATATTGCACTTAGAATTCAAACCCTTCTTGCAAAGGCTACATTGTTTTCAGGTCCTAGCACCAATGCTGACAATTGAAACCAGTGTCTCAAAGTATCTCCAAGTGCAAACAGAAAGTTTAAGGTGTTGGAACTGCCATGCTGAAACACAGCAACAGTGAAAATAGTGTTCTCTTTCCAAAGCAAGAGAAAGACAACACTCCCCAGGATTCCCTTAAAGCAGTCGCAAATAGATTAGCATTTGTGATGACTGGGTATGGACAATCATATACAGTTGAAGTTATAGTCAAGGAGTTTAGCTCATAATTCTTTTGAGCCTACTGCTTCTGAGAAGTGTATTTTGCACTGTTTTCATATTTGTTATTTTCATCATGGCTGGGACAAAAATTTAGTTATTCTCAGAAGAAACAGAAATGGACAGAAAGAAAGAGAAGATTCAGTCTTATTCAAAATATGCTGTTCCAAAATAGCACTGAAAAATAGAGGTTGAAACTATGGCAAAGAAATCTCAATGGAATTTCAGTATGACTGAAGAAATGTACATTCATTACAAGAATGAGAAGAAGGTACCTTACTACTTTGAATTTCTGGAAGAAACATGATTATCTGTCTTACAACCTGTTAATAGCATCCCCCAAACAGTTAACTTTCCCAAATTCAAAGTTTTTCCTAATATATCAGTTCTCTTGGAACACAGTTTTTCATGATGTCAGGAGTGAAATTAGAATGGTCATAAATTTCAGTAACTTATAATTTTACAAGCGAGATGACAGGCGAAGGAAACACAAAAGAATTTCTGTGCAGACTACAGGCCAATGCCAGCAGAGGCTGCTTTTGATGTCATAGGAACTGTTTCATACATCAAGGTCCAGGCCTATGCCACTCCTCACTGCCTGCCTATTACAGTGTGGGACTGCTGTGACTGAAAATAGGCTACCACAGAGAAAAATGTAGTTTTTCCCTTTAAAGGTTTGCACAGACTTTATTCTTTGCTTCCTGTTTTTGTATCTAAACTTATTTTTTAAAAATTCATTTAAAACAGCACTGATGTAGATAATAAAAAAAAAAAAAAAGAAAAAGCAAAGAATTGTGTTAAGTGCAGCTTTTATAATCATGTTCTTAATTTCTTTTTTCCTTTTACATTTACCACAAAAGAAGTATCTTTTCATTAATTTCACTCCAAGGGAAAACATAGGAAATCACTTTTTTGCACAGAGGAGTAAGTTGTAGACCAGAAACTTGTTTCCCCACAGGACATTTCAGATGGAGAGCTGCAATTTTGCATCATTAAGGCAAAATGAAGAATACTTCCATCACGTGTCACACAGGTCTCTCCCACTCTGGCCACTGGATAGATCCATAATTAAAAACCTTTGCAGTTACTTGTTTGTTTTAAATAGTAAACAGTCATTCTCTTCATTGCTTATCAGTTTAAAGAAAAGGCTCTTTCCGGCCTTCACTCAGAACTTCAGTCTTGTGATTAGATCAAGCATATGCAATTGCTTCAAATCAGCAACAGAAACTAGCAGTTGAGCTAAGTGTCAATTAGTTGTAATCTACTGATCTGATTAGAGGCCTTCACAAATGTTTGGTGACGATTGCAAATAACAGCCAAGCAGATAGGAATGATGCAATACCCAACAGTTTTGGGGTCAGCTCTTGTACAGGAATAGAGGAACAAGAACATCTGTAAGTACGGTATTAAAAATATTATTGTCCACAGCCAAAACGGCAGGGATAGCAGTCGTACTTTTAAGGAGTGTGTCCATGTGGTTCCTTCCTGTGGTTCCTTGGGGTGTTGCTGAATGTGCTCCAGTGCTAGTTTGTTGTAAGTCTCATTGATTTCAAAGACGTAATAAAAAGCCGCAGCACTTGCTAACAAGTACAGCCCCACGCCAATCCAGCCCATCCTCTGGCGGAAGTTCATCATTCTCCATGCTCTGCACCTGAAACAAAAGGTGACAGAAATATTCAGTACAGCTTGGAAAAAGAGAGAACAGATGAACCTTGGTTTTCATAAATTAACTTTATGTAACTTTTCATTATACATTAGTTAAAACACACACATCAATTTCTGAAGACGTGAGTTTTCTCTACATCAAAGAAAATCATTACTCTGCCAGCAACAGGTTAATGGCAACAACATAAGAAGGTCCATTGATGGCTCTGGATAGTTTAGGGCCTGCTGGCTATCAGGATTTACCTGGCTTAACTCAGGTACTCAGGGAATAAAACAAAAGTCATCAATTGGGTAAGTTACTTACCCCATCTGTCCTCAATGTCTCTACACACAGAGTGGGGATAATGTAAGATTTTCTGTAAGTATGTAAAGTTTGGAAAGTTCTTTGATGCCTGCAAGACAAACATGCTGCTAGACAGCCAGTAATGGTACCATCACTGCTTGTCTGTGGTACAGCAATATCCACTTCTACTGAGCTCTAGCTGAGTGCCCATTTATGAACCACAGAAAGGGATATTTTCAATTTAACATGAGGTTAGGCTGTACTGAAGGTATGTACCTGCACAGACACTACTGGGCTCAATTTGAGATGCTTCAAATCTCCAGCTGGCCACATGGGTCTAGCTGACTGGAAACACTCTTCAAACCAGCCACAAACACTTCAGCTGGAGTGTACCTCTATGCAAATTAAGTCATCACCTCTTCCCCTCCAAACAGCTCTTGCACAGGGCAGGGAGAATCACTGCTTCTCTGCACCTGATTAGGGTTCTCCAAAAAAAACGCCTTTTCAGACCTCTGGGCTTTTACCTTTCGTACCTGTTCCTACAGAGAGGTAAAATCCATCTATGTAGTACTGTTTTAAGAAAATATATCCAGCCTTTAAAATACCATGCAGAAATTCTCACTGAAAAATGAATTATGCATATAAAACAGTAACAATTCAAGGAAGCATTCAAGAATTCACCATAAATGATACAAAATCATTGCACCATTCTAAATCACCCTGAGCCAGACTAATCTGGCAATCCTACTTCCTGATTTTACATAAATGAGGAATATCCTCAATCCTGACATAACAGAATCTGATCAAGACTGTCCTAGAGAAATCGTTCTGGCCTTCAGACTCCTGCATTCATGGTGACTACAAACATTCAGGGACATAAATACCTGAGAAGGAACAGTAAATATCTGAAAAGGAACAGTAAATACTTGAGAAAGCTATTGCAGACTTAAGTAATGTCAACTTCTCGTTCAGCTGATCCTTCTGTATAACTCAGCTACACGTTTCCCTTTATTACCCCGAGTCAATATACGTTTAGTAGGACAACTGAAAAATTGTTGAAAGGAACTGTTAATCTCTAAGGTACAAACTTGAACCCCAGGTCTGCGTTTACCCGCTAAATAAACCGCTGCCTGTTTTTTCCAGCAGTTCGGCATATCCGAGCTGGCTCACGAGTTGTCGCCTTCGAGGAAAATAAATCGTCATAAGGTATGTACATACTGAAAACATAAACAGCATCAAAACAGCAGCAGATTTAAGAAGGTAAATATCAGCGCGTTTTGATCCTGCCCTTGAGCTGTAGCCAGAAGAGGAGCCTTAGCTCCCGGTTACACCGAAAGAGACTGAGCTAACAGAGTCATCTCATTGTTATTCTCCTTTTTCAGACCCAACTCCAACTTGCAGCTTTTGGGCACACCCGCCATGGTTCTCGGACCCCTTCAGCCCACTGGGGCTCTCCTCCGGCGACCCCCCGCACACACCGCCCGCCGGACCCGCGCCCCGGGCCAGACGCGCTTCGCCGCCACGGCTCCTTCTCGGCGCCGGCAGCTCCTTACCTTCCTCCGGCGGAGAAGGAGGGAGCGGGAGGGCGGCGGCGGGCGGCCCGCTCCCCTCAGCCCGCGCCGCGGCGCCGGGAGGCGGCGAGTCCCGCGGGCCCGCCCCGCTGCCCGCCCGCCGCCATGGCCGCCCGCCGGCACCGGCACTTCCGGCACGGGGCAACGGCTGCCGGGGCGCGCGGCCGCATCCGGGGCGGGTGCCTTGGCCGGCGGCCATCTTGGCTCGGGCGCGCGCCCCTCTGTGGCCGGAGTGGCCTCGCCCAAAATGGCGGCGTCGGCCTGAGGCGGCGCTCGGCTCCTTCGCGGGGACAGACCCACGGTGCTGTGTTTTGGCACAGTGGCGGCGTGAGCCCGTCGAGGGGAGTAACAACAACGATTACTAAGGAAGTTACAACAGAGACTGAAACAGTCCAGCAAATGGCAAACGTGTAGTCAAGCCCCAGTATATGCTTATACATAAACATGACATAGTAGATTATTTTTATTAAATTAAATTATTAGGAGATATTATATGCTTACTATCCCATGGCAGCGGGCGTTGGGACCAGGTGATCTTTAATGTCCATATATTTCTATGATCTACTGGGAAAAAGCTTTTAGTGACGCTTAAAGATCATTTAAATTGACAGCAAAATTAATATGGTCAGGTGCGTGCTGTTCCATGAGGTGATGACTTTGGGAGAGTTTGTCCAGAACCTGTTTGCCTAAACTCAGGAACTGTGACACGAGCTCCGTGCCAGTTAATGCTGAAACTGCCTCGCGTTACATATGAAGTGAAACCTGTTAGTAAATTGTATCCTAAAGTAATGACAAAACTACCCTTTCTTATTGTGAAAGCAGCAGTGGCCACAATTCACTCTCATCAGCTGTCCTTAAGTTGAAGAAAGCTAAAGAAGGATTTTAAAATGAATGCCCAATAAGAAATAAAAGTTGCTAAAGCAATGACTTTTTTGTTTGTGTCCAAATACATAGGATCTTCTGCCACTTTTCTTGGCGAGGTAGCAGGTGCCTGTGACACAGCATATAAGAGCTGCTGCTAAATCAAATCTATGGTGGATTGTCCTGCTATGTGTGGTGTTTCAATGAAAAACATTAGAAGCTGGTGCTTTGGATTATAGTCAGGACAGCTGATGAAGAAATGCATGGACCTGCAGATATCAGTAGAGGAAAAGGACACTGTTGAGAGTCCACAAGAGTCAGAAATACAAATCCCCTGTCATACAGCAACTTCAAATTAAGTTGTACTGTTTTGGGTTTTGTTTTTTGGGTTTTGTTTTGTTGGGTGTTTGTTTTGTTTTGTTGTTTTCTTATTTTCTTCTTGTTGTTTTGGTGTTGTTGTTTGGTTGGGTTTGGGTTTTTTTGTTTGTTTGGGGGATTTTGTTGTTAGGGGTTAATTATTATTATTGCTTTAATGCTCATTGAAGGCCCAAAAGTGACACAAGATGGCGCCCAGAACCACAGGCAGAGCCAACCTGAGCAACACCCTGACTCCCAGGTCAGAGATTTTACACTTTACTTCAGTTGAATGAAGATTTCATTATCTTTCATGAAGTTTAAATAAACCATTAGTGTAGTTTTGATGACAGATGTAGATATGAATAGCTACATACAGCTAATTACCCTGGGACACCTCTCTCAACTAAATGCCATTCTTTCCATTCTTACAGGTGGTGACGTCCAACCTGATCTAAAAGTGAATAAAGCTCCTGTGTGGCTGACAGACCTTCCACTCAAGCATGGCTATATTGCATTTTCTGATATTGAGGTTAGAGTTAATGATGAACCAGCTTATTTTAAAATACCCACCTAGATGTCAAAGAGGAGGCTTCCAGTATGAATTAGACTGTGTGAGTGTATGGCTTGGCAGTGGATACATGTGCTAAGTGTAAAGCCTGCATTTGCACTTAAGATTCTGAAGAAGAATCAGTGAAATGTGGACTTTATTCCTACTAAAGAAGCCTGTCTTTTCACTGAATGGTTGGAGTTGGAAAGAGGGGATGGTTTAGGATTTAATCTGCTTGTAAACCAAGTAGGTTAAAACACTCAACCGAGGGTCTTCTGTGATAAACATAGAACCTGAGATTGTGGCTATAAAGAGAAAGATCTAAAAAATTTGAAGAGTTATAACAATCACAAGCTGTCTTTGAAAGCTAAGGCATAACACCAGACAGAGTGATTTGTAGTATTTTTGGGCTAGATCTCAATCTGTATAAATTCAGTGTTATGCTTAATCTCTGCCATAGTAAAGGAAGAGACAGAGCAAATAACTGAGGATTCATTGGTTGGTTAGTTTTAGCAGCAGGCCTCTGAGGGGGGAGGGAATAATTCCAAAATTAGTAGAACAAGAAGCAACTGTTCTCAGCTTTAGACAAATTCCAGTCACAAGTGCTGGTAATAATAAGGGGAAAGAACTCATAACTCTGCATATTGAAATGAGAACATACACCTGGTGAGACTCAAAAGGATAATATTGAGCTTGGGAAACCAGAGAAGATAGAAGTCTGCTGAATCCAAAGGAAATAATATTTAATGAACAGAATCAAAGAATTAATCATGGAGTTTTGTAGCATTAAAAAAGAAGTGTTTGACCTAGTTTTGACATATTATGTATTTTTATAGAAATATTTGGTTTATTTTGAAGGTAAAGCAGAAAAGCAATGGAGCAGCAAGAGCTGGCTGCTCCATAGAGGGCAGGAACCAAGCATAATAACACAGGTGATGGGCCAGAGCCTCACTGCCCAAGCCCAGTCCCACAGAGCCTGAGGAAGGCAAGCAGGGAACACTGGATTCAGACAGGAGTACAGTAACAAGGCAGGTCCAAGGTCAAGCTGTGAAGGCAGCCCACAGGCTAGGGTGTGATCCAGTGAGAACTAGGGTCAGACATCCAGACATCACCTAGCAATTGCCATGAAGGTCCATAATGATAAGAAAAGACTGAGGTCAAGCTAGGAAGTCAGTCTGTGACTCCAGATAAACATGGCGTGGCACAGTCACGGCTGAACTGTGGACACACCCAGATACAGGTCAGGCATGATCTGAAAGCACAGAGCTTGGCTAAAGTGGGGCTCCTGAGCCCATGGGAGGGGTCAGGTGAAGATTGTTGGGGCTATTAAGGCCTGTTAGGATGTTTAGGATCCTGACAAACTACATAGGATAAATGAGAGCTGACAAGAGGAATCAGAAAGGTTAGTGGTAATCTTTAAATCAAACAAAGTTTTCACAAGTCAGTATTAATAGAATGTCTCTCCTAGGCTTAGATTTTGGCCAAAATAGAAAAGTAAAGGTAGAATACCTGAGATGATTACAAAACCAAAATTAGCTGACCTTCCAAATGGAAGGCAGAAGCTGAAGGACAGAATGCATCTCACATCCTTTTTGGTGGATCTTATGTTTATATTTAGCAGAGTTGTAGTAGGTTCTCACTGATAGGTAATCAAGAAGTGAGAATCTAATAACAGAGTCATTTTTGTCAAGATAGCATTTGCCTTCATTTTGTAGGACACTGATTTGTGATTCATCTAGAACATCACATTCCTGGATCTTTTCCTTCTTAATCCTAACTCTAAACCAAACTTTTGGCTAGAGAACTAGGATCTTTACAGACTACATATATGTTGGGATTCCAAGGGGAAAACTCATGTGAATTTTTATCAGTGAGTGCATGAATGCCCAGAGTTTCTGCAGCTTGTAGCAGTTTTATTTATTAGATGTAGTTACAGTGAATTTTGTAGTATCGTGTTGTGGTGCATTAAGTTGTTTAGATCAGTTTCTTATAATTCAGTGTGAGTCCAGAACATTAGTTTGCTTCAATTCATATGCTTTATTTTATGTTTTTTGAATCTTTAGTTTGTATTGTAGAACTTTTGTTTCTTCTGAAAATAAGGCTATAATCTTCTGATTCCCTTTTTTTTTTTTTTTTTTTTTTTTTCTTGGGTGGTTGTTTTGTCTGCTGTCTTTCTTTGAACTTTTTTCTTGGAGACACCAGTTTTCTTATAGGGTGTAGCATATTCATTTGGGAACATGCAAGAAGCTTTTTTATAGGATTGAATTTTTATATTTTATTTTTTCTCATTTTAAATTGAAATAGTATATTTGCTTGGTTTGGCTACATTAACCACATGAAGAAGCACTATTCAGTAAGCTGAATGGTGATCTTTATCACTTTTGACTTACTTTGTTTACTTTGAATTTCTGGGACCTTAAATTACCTTAATCTTAAATTCTCAGTTCCTGAAATTCTGCTTCTACCATTTGTTTTTTGGCAGCAGCCGCATCTGAATTAAGCTTCAGGCAATCATGTTATCCAGCTTCTTTGAATACCATCCATACTTTGTTCTTAGTTGTAGAAATATTTATCAACTTTCCAACAAACTTTTTGATATTTACAAATGGTATAGTTATCTCATACTCTCAAACATCCACGGTAAACATCTGCCAAAGGAAGAATTGCACACTACAACCCTTTGTCAAAGTGCCTATAAAGAACTGAGTCTTTTATGGAGAAGGGCCTTGGTATTTTAGACAGACCTCTTCACTACACTGATGCTCCTTTTTCATTACTTACCTCTGAATGTACACCTCATGGCTGCGTTATTCATTATTTATCTCTGAATAATACCTTGTTCATTATTTACCCTCATGTCTGCATTGTCTGTGGTAAAACAATTCCGGCCAGAAAGAGATAAAATCTTTGCTTTTACATTCTCCTTTTCAGCCAATTGCAAAGTGGCTTCAAAGTTGAGCAAGAACTGACAAAACATACTGAAAGGACATGGGCAGAGATGTCTGGTAACTGACTCTTCCTCTCTGTAGCATTTATTCAAACAGAGGACAAATCAATTTATGCAGAAGCAATGCAGATATTGGTCTCACAGCTCCAGTGATATGACCCAGCATTGTACTGGCCTTGGAGGAAAGAGAACTTTCTTGCAGAATTTTTCTCAAACCAGTTTATAGTTATAAATTACATTTCAACAAAACCATTATTCATTACAATTTATTGTTTTTTATTAAATCCCCACAAATAATATAAAAACCACCCCAAGTCCACTTCCAAAGCCACCATTAAACTCCTGAGAATTCTGCTTTATCAACTAAAGTTGATACATATTACCAGAACGGAAGAGTTATTAAATTTCCATGCTGAGTTTGCTGCTGTCAACATGCTTGGTCATATAAACAAGTTAAAATGACCCATGTTAAAATGAAAAACAGAATCCTTCTTCTGTCCATATAAATAGTCCAAGAAAAACATCTGACCATCTCAGAGAGTAACTGCTCCATCCTCACAAGAGGAGTGATCTTTTTTTAAATTTCCACTAATTATCTCTCCTTCAGTGGTGCTTATATGAAGCAAGTCAGTAATACCATAGAATTATTTTAGAGATTTAATTATTGCCTCTTCTGGGGTTCCCACTTTCCAGGGTGTACCTATCTTGCTCTAGACTGTAAACTGTATGCAGCAGGGAGAATCTATATTTAGATTTTCCAGAAACATAACTTTCTTCTACTAAACCAATAGTGAAAGAACTCAGTTCAGATCAGGCCTTTTCCCAAGTTCAAAGGATCACAACTTTTTTGCATACACCAGGATGGAGGTTTGGAGGTGGTAGACAGCATATTGTTTAAGATTTCAAAAACAGTCCAAAACAACAACAACCCAAAACCAACGAAACAAAAACAAAAAAAAAAAGCTTCAAAACCCCAACAAAACCAAACCAACCAAACAGAAAGAACTTTATGTGTGTGTCTTTTAGGAACCTCTTCCCTCTGTTCTGTTAGAGCTTAGGAATTACCCATAGTTACTAACATTAAATTTACTGCAAGAGGCATATGTGTAAGATATCCACCCATATCATGTGAGGCTTCAAACATTCTTAGTCACAGAAATGTCTGCATAGATTATAAAAAAACAGAACTTGTCTGAGGCAATGGGAAATCACTGTCAGAGGTAGGCTGAATGACAGAAGTACCTGATGGTTTATCCAAGCTCCAGACCTGCAGAGCCCCTCATTTCTCATTGAAGTGCTCAATGTAAGCTCAGCTGTCACAAGTGTACACTTTCAGCTCAACTGAAACGCCAGCATGAGAGGGGAGGCTTTCATACAAATGTTATCAACTGGAAGTAAATCTTCATCCTCATCTGCATGGAGGGCTCCTGTTGTTGTCCTGTTGTTTATCTTTAGTGAAAGATAAAAGTCTGTTCACTGTAGCTGTGAAGCTTTTAAGTACTCACTTACCCTTTTACCTGAATTTGCCTTTTTCTGAAGCCCATGCTAGAGGTCTGTACCAGAAATCAGCACAGATCCAGAGAATGACTCAAACATTCAAACAGAGATATTAACAGCAGTTGATGGTTACTCTCAAAGAGAAAACTTCAATAATTTATCAGTAAGTATTTGCATTTCATTTAACAAAAGCACATTAAGCAGTATTTGCAAATGTTTAAAGCAAAAGTCATTTTATGTTTTTTCCTTACTGTGCAGAATTTTTAAGCTGCTGCTCTGTGATATATAAAATGAAATTTCAGTAATGCCTACTGTCATACATTCTGTCATATAATTCCGAGTGAATATTTAAATGTCTCCAGCTTAGCACATTTAATAATGCATTTGTTGGCATTCTTAAAGATGGGAAATGTCCACTTCTCCACACAAATGTATGCTTGATTTGCCTTTCACCAACACAATGTAAACATAGTCATCATAAAAACATGAAGGTACTGGGAGAGTAAAGAAATACACTGCTATGAGACTGTAAGAAGTGTAAGTGCATCCAAATCAACACCTCCACATGAAAAAGTATCTGGCTTAAATTAGTGTGTCACTGTAGGTGCATTTCTGCACTGCTTTGTTTAATAGGAGTTAGAGCACCTCCATTGTAAAATGATGCCTCTACACAGTGAAGAACTTGTTTTCCAGGAGTTTATAGTGTTCTGGGTAACTATGACCAGTTGAAGTGTTTCACCAGTGAATCCAGTGCATAAATGATGATGCAATGGATTATGACGCAAACTTAAATCTATCCTGATCTGGGTGTTGAAGCAGAGGTTACCATTTCAAGGTTTTTTCATATTCTATTCTGTCATTCTTTTTTCACTAGGTAGAAACTATAATTCTCGGGTTGTTGGCAAGATTTTGAAGTGCTAGTTCTAAGTGCTCTGGCAAAACAGCCTCTGAAGCAGTGGAAATTCTTTAGCTTGGTAAAATTAGGCAGCCTGATACATTTCTGGAGTGGCTTCACACAGTGAAAATGCTTAGAGACTTGCCTAGCCAGCACTGCACTGGTGGGTGAGAACAGCCACCCTAACCCAGAAGGATCAGAAAGAACAGTAGAACAGAAGGTGTAGACGCCCCTTCTTTGGAAATCTGCACAAATAAGGCCCTCACAACCCCACCAATGTTAGCCAGCAACACAAGAGTTTCGTAACTGTAGAAAAATCTGTGGCAGCTGCAAGTTCTCCTTTCCCCAGCTGTGTGAAGTGATGGTAAACCAGTCTTTTGGGGCTATTGTCATTGATAGCAAGTGGAGATGATTAGCAAAGAGGAGTTCAGGTTTTAATTCTCTCAAGATTGAGTAGGTGAGATCCTTTGAAAAGACCCACATGCCTATTATTGTCCCCCACCCCAATCCAGGCTTCATCATCTTCAGATTGTGGTCAGTCCTTCTGGCAGGTTATTTTGGTTTGCAGAGTAGCCAAAATCTAACCTGAAAGCACTATCAACTTTACCCTCAAGACATCTGGGGCTAACTTCTAATTGTCTGACTTATAAAACCATTTTCTTGAGTGTAGTCCAAGTAGCTGAAAAATTACTTACGTGCTTGCAACACTTTTATGACAGCTCCTTGGCACATCCTGAGGCCTCTGCCATCTAAATGGTGGCATGAGTACTTTCCTCTGGTTTAGGCTGTTCCTCAACCTCTCTGATTTCTCCTAGCAGTGAGAAAGAAATTTTTCCTCTATGTGAAAAATAATCCCACCTCATGGGCTTGGTGCAAATAACCACTACACAAAGTGCTGAGACCTCAAGAAGAACATTCTTCTAACTTGTCCTCCATCTGATTTGTTTAGCTTGTTTTCCCAAATAAATAAAAGAGGGAGTGTGTATGTATCTGTATTTATTGCACAATTTCAAAAACACGTACATAGACCTCTTTTGGACATTGAGCTTCTGTAGGTATTGGGACAGCTGGCACTTGGGTAATGGATTGGGTTCTGATGAAGAGAATAGGTACAATGTTAGCTCATCCCTTATGAAACAATGGGAATCTTCATAGGCACAGGTTAGGACAAACTTTTCATCTATGTGAAAAACTTTCTTAGAGGTCACACCAGAAAACTGAGGCTCAAGGCCAGCAGTCTTCATCCGTTCAGTCACTAGCATTCCTTCCCCTCTCCAGAAGCTCTGAGAGAAGGGAAAATCCCAAAGGGCAGCATTGGCATTGTATGTTCAACTGCAAAGGCTGCTCTTGTACATGTGGTACATTAATATAAAGCACAGAAGTGGCCTGTTCAGAACCACTAGAAATATTTGCTGTGATCCTGTCTGTGGAAGTGTCCCTTTTAGCTGTCAGAAATGTGACTGGGAAGCAATACCTGTGCAGGCAGATCCAAAATGACACTCTGGGATTGTAATGAGTCTTGCATTCAGACATGCTCATTGCCTAAGCTGTATTTACAGACTGTCAGGCACTGAGTATGTGAGATAATAAATTTAATAGCACAGTGATACAACACGTATTAATAGAATTTATCATCTATGCAGCTACAAGTGTCTTACAGGATCTAGGCAATCTGAAATGTCTGAAAGTTTGTGATTCTAAATGAGCTATCTATTTCACTTTACAAGCCAGACCATCTAGTAAGTGCTCAGAGCTATAAGCAAATTGTGGTCTCAGTTGATTTATTCCAGCTCTTTTTGTTGATGGTGGTTTGGCTTGGGTTTTTCCCCTTTTTCCTTTTACACTATGGCTGATTAGCTCCTGTTTTCTATAACTTGTCTCCTGAATTTCCAATTCTTTTCTACATGACCTTTTTCTTTCAGAAGAGCTGCATGTAGTAGGAGGCAGAAATGGGATGTTACAGGACAGAATGTTGGTAATGTGGAGGAGATGTACATGTATAGTTTAATCTTTGTATATGAGACTGGTACTCGAGCAAAAGGGAAAAAAAAAAGTCTCTTTTGGTTATTGTGTGTGGCGATTAGATAATGTTTTGGAATGCACTCTGAGTGGGAAAAAGCCAAGGATGGGGGGTGACTGGTGGAGCAAGACAGGTTATATTCCTGCCTCCAGAAGAGTAGTAAGTAGGAGTCAAGTCAGTGCACCATTGGTGTGTAAGTGTGAAAGGTTTGTGAGCACAAGAGGAACAGCACCTGACTCAAAGCAGGGCTTTCCCAACTGTGCTTCTAGATTATCACCCAGAAGCATCTTTAGTTAACTTCGGGATAGTTGTGGCATGTCCAAAAGAACTCTCGTCTGTCCAAGGGAAGATAATTTTGCTTAGGATTGAGGTTGTTTCCAAAAGCTTTTCTACATCTTGCTGATGAAACTTGAGTTTCCTCTGTGTATCACTGGCAAAAATGAGGTGTGTCCTTCTGCAACATCCTCATATACTGGGGATACTATCAGATGTTTTTTTTTTTTTTTTGGGGGGGGGGTTTCTTTAATACACTAAAGTTAGTTGGCTTTGGAATACTGCTGGTATTGGCTTTAGAAATGCTTTTCTGCATCTATTCTTTTTGCATTTGTAAGACTATACATTGTGGTAGCTTTTGAAAAAGATGGAAATTGCTGCCCTTCCCAGAGAGGAAAGCCAGTGTCTCCTGATGGGACTGTACAAAATCAGCAAGCACAATGCTTGTGAACTGTTGGTGAACTCTAAGGAAGCATTTAAACAAAACAGGAAAAGGGTCCTCAATCACTGGAGCCATGAGAAGAAAGTGCAAGTGATGGTGTAGCCCACACCGGACTTGTATCTTTCCTGTTTTCTCAGTTTTAGCAGTTTAAAAGGTTCAACTGTAGCCCCAAACAACTCATGGAAATGGAGAACCACTGGAATGAGGACATGTTCTTTAGGTCACCTTTAACAGGCTCTCATCAGAAGAAGCAAAGACAGGTGTAAGCCAGCAAAATATGGGACAATAGTGGTAGGATTCATATATGTCCAGGTCACTTTATATGAATTTATATACATGAGTTATGTGTCCATGTCAGTCTGATTTACATTCATTATATTAAAAGAGCTACATTGTTTTTTTTTAAAAATAATAAATTACAGCAGTGCAAAATATGTGGTAAGATGGCTCATTTTGCTGTAAGCATGCTCCCAGAATTGTTATAAGTACTAAAGCCACCTGATTAAAAAATCACAAACAGCTATAAGCAGAATAACTCTCATAACATGAAACTGTAGGTGGAGAAAACCTCACTGCAGCCTCGCCTTATCCAAGTCTCAATCCAAACCTTAATAAAGTGTGAGCTCACCCAAATCCTTCAGCGAACAATCTTTCGGGATTTCCTTGAACATAAAGTTTGAATCATTTTAACTACACTGAAGCAATCACCAAAGTATGTATATCTATATGTGTGCATTGAAAGAGTTTGCATGAGCATTATTTCCACAAAGCTGCTTGCCATGGTAAAAGGCAAGAGAGCTACAGTAATGTAGCTGTGTGTCTGTGTCCACAGTTGGGTTTTGACTGGCAGAAGTTATTCAGTTTAAAAAAATCTGCTCCTACTGACATAATTATACTGGCACAGGACTTTGTCATCTTTTTTTTCTCAGCCACATAGTTTTTTTTGCGGCTTTAAATTCTTTATTCATTGATGAAATGCTTTCCTTGGTTTATGAGCTTATACAGTCTGTCCCCAACACGCTACATGACAAGCAAGCGAACTTGGCAGCCAGACCTTTTCTTGCTTTCCTGCAGCAAGTACATTCATCAGAGCTCAGGATAGAAAACTTTTTGAGCAATATATAAAGTAAGATGTACCTTCTCATAAAGGTGATTTCCTTGCAGTTTCAAAATACCCCGTAGTTATCCTGTTTTCATGGCTGGAACAGAAGAGCTTGCTGTGCTCTCAGTGTGAGAGGTAGCCATCTGAGCAGCACTCCACTGGGGCTGATGAGAGCTCAGGAATTCTTGAATGGCCCTGCACGGGCTGGTCCTCTGCCAGGCATTGTTACTCTCTTTTGGAAGGTTTTTGAGCTTTTCTAACTGAATTCCTTCTTCTGATCTCTAAAAGATCAGAAATACCAATGAGCCTCAGGCAGTACTCATTAATCCTTATTTTCTTTATAAAATCAGAATACTGAAGCATAAACTGCATAGGTTTTCAGGTGAGTGGGGGAGTAGAGGTGAACCACACCTTCCCCATCCCTGCTGCTGCTGTGAAGTAGGATTGCCACCAAAAGAGGCAGTTTGATGCCTTCTCTTCCTGGCTTCTTTTTTCCAGCCTGTTCTCTGCCTTGTGCCACTATAAACAGGTAGAAAAAAGAATGGTGATCCAGATTAAGGAATTGGTTTAGGCTAAGACTTAAATACTGTTGTCATCTTCTGGGTTTGTTTAA